GCCCAGTCTGGGCAACCTTGTTCGTGTTTGATTTTAGGCAAGATTTCAAGGTTTTTAAAACTAATATAGAATAGGAGATTACCTCAGCCAAAAAAAACATAAAATTTCTTTTCAAAACAATTCTTTTTACCCTAAAAAAATCTGGAATTTCTTTGAAAAATGAGGGTCTTAAAAAACTAAACATGGCTAAAATATATGGACAGGTTTGTGTTGAGCGGCCATCTACTATAAATAAAGAAGGTTACCTATAGTAACATATAAATCATTTTTCATTCAATTTTTCTGTGCGGACAGAAGGAAACTTTTAGGTGTGTCCAGACCGGACACACTGTGCCGCAAAGTGTTAAATATATAGCGCTTGATTGATTTGCTGTACTCGCCTAAGCGCACAAACAAACATTCTACAATATCAGAGCTAGATTTACCAACATTAGCAACTGATTTCAATTAAAATCTAAGTTTTCCGAAAGTCTTATTTACGCAGTTATTTATTAAAATTTCTCTCAATTTTGCTTTGCTTTATAGATTGTGCTAAACTTAATCTTTTCTTTATTAATATTTCTTTCTCTCTGTCTATTTAACTGCGGCACTTCGTGAAAATACCATAGATTCTTTTTGTTTTTACTTCATTATACGAAGTAAAGTACGCATTGTAATTGCGAAAAATGTCGGGTATCATATTTCAACGAAACTATCCATTGTAACCGCTCTGGAATCCATTTGAAGGATGTTATCGCGTGACGGCTGTACGTATGGACTGAATATAGGACTCTTTTTCTCAGAAGGAATTGTAATATGGATTTAAAATAAATTCAGAAGAGTTTTTTTTTTTCATTACGTCTGTACCTATGTACGTACGTGCGTATGTATGTATGTATGTATCTCGCATAACTCAAAAACGAGTAACCTCGGAAAGTTGAAATTTTGTATATGAGATTGCTATAACATATAGTTGTACAAATCCATTTTTTGTTGCTGTTGGCTGCACCAAATATATATATATATATATAAACCACTTAGTTACCCGGCTGTATGAGCTGAGTTTTTTTCCTTGCATGTTGATATGTTCTGCATTTTCTGCTTTAAAAGTTTTTTTAATTATGCTGTTCGTATGTTCCGGTTAAGGGTTTTATGCCGTTAGTTAATGTCTATACAAGAGCTGTAGAATTATCAAGAATTTAAATATTCCTTAAGTGCTTCTAAGCCTAACGAAGCCACCATTCGTTTACTTCTGAAACTCTAAGAAGAATAGTGAATTAAGCCTGTTTCGGCACCAACTTCAATGTCTTTTTGTCAAGTGAGACCAAAAGTAAACTTTAAGTGCATTTGGTATTTTATATTTTTCTACATTTTGCAATTTTTAATGAACATGCTCCGAGATTTTATGTATTTTTTCCTTGCCGGGAAGTGAGAACTGAATTAAATGATTGAGAACGCTCCTATGAAATTCGAGGAAATAAGTTTAAATGAAGTACAGCCAAAAAATGAGTATAATTCAAAAGGCCGTACAAGGAAGTCATGTGATGTCTACATCAGATTTTGGTTTTCGAAAAAGAGAGACAGATATATCATTCCTCCTGAAATTTCATAGATTTATCTATAATTTCAGTATGAGGTAGAATTTTGCGTAATTTTGAAATATTTCACCAAAACTCGCAAAAAAATGAATTTTATTATTACCATTGTAGAGTCATTAGGTTAATTGGAAGCAGAAAAGATGAAAACTATAAAAATATGCAACCGACTTCGCCGGGAATCGAACCACGGACCTCTGGAATACCGGCCCAGCGTGCTACCGTTACACCACAAAGGCACGCTAGGGAAGTGGAAAAATACATTATACCCTTATTTCCTAAATGAATAGGTTTTTAACATGGATAGTTCTAATTAACGTAAACATTTCCTGTATTTTGTTCCTTACACTAATTCCTTTTAGTTCGTGTATTATTCCAAATAACATTTAAAGTATAAGCAAATAAATCATTGAGATATTTACATAAATTTCAGATAACTTTATTTTTAGTAAAGTTATTATTTTCTTACTTGATGTATAAAAAACAAAGCTTCTAGAAATATTCGATGTTATTTAATTCTTTCTTTCGCTGCTTTAAAGCTGGATTACATTCTTGAGATACATTCTGGAATGTAAGGTATTTTTTTGGAAATACTTAAATAAAGGAGCATTTTCGAATGTAATGCAAGAGTATAAATATACTTAAGCATTTGTAACTTTGGAAGTTTCAGGCATAATATTTAACAAATGGATAAAAAGACATTTTACGTCAGATACTATAGGTTGGATGTCAATTTCAGTGTCTGGAAATAATACAAATTTTGTTTCCAAGGTTCTGGATCCTATTTATTATTAAAGGGATTGTCTTGCTTTTTATATTACATTTCTTTCCTTTTAGGGACATGGATAAATTTTTCATTTCAAAAGAAAATAAGAATGCATTATTGCATAGATTTAAAACGTCAAAGTCTGTTCCGGGATAACTAAATTTGTGCTTTTCAAGAGCGAGTTAAGTTACATAATGTAGTCGAAAACTAAAAAATTTAAATGCCTACAAGATACAAAGGTTAAGACAAATTTTGCTTGTTTTGTAAAGTTTGTGGAACTTTCCGTATATATTTTAAACATTGCTTTTTGTTCTGCTAAAGGGGTTTACAAACACTTAATGTCTTACGCTATTGTTGCTTCTCCGAATATTCATGAATTTTACCGGCTCATAAACTATTCTTTCGTTGTTTTTATTTACCCCGTGTGTTACTGGCTGTATTCCACATTCATTGGCATAATTCTAAATATGATTCAATACTTTAATACTTTAAGTATTCAAAAGCAGATATTGTAATGTTTGAATAAAATTGAAGTAAATATTAAAGAAGCTTCATAAGCAGTTTTATCCCGTGTCTTAAAGACTACATTCCACGTCTATTAACGTTACTCTAAGTAGGATTCGATATTTATTACTCTAAATACTTAAGACTAAATACTGTAATTGTTGAATAAAATGGATAAAATATTAAAGAAGATTCAAAACCAGCTTTTAATGGCACATACGAAAAATGCTGCTGCTGAATAAGTAGATTTTATTATTATCAAGGTTTTTCACCGCCATTTATTTATCATCGGTTTCTGTTTTGCATGCATATTTTCCGTCAATGTTTATTTTATATTATTCTTTTCCCATTATTGTTTTCACCTGATATTATATTGTACTTCAAAAGAACAATATTTTTTACATGATTGATATTTGCAATTAATTGTTGCTTATGTAGCACAAAAAAATACCTTACATTTCATAAAATTACTTTCTTACCTAATGCATTAGCCGCTGTAACCCAGAATGATATAGAAATGTTAAGCTCTTTTGAAAAAGAAAATCTTTCATTTTTTTTTTGAGGGGGAGTCTACGTTTTATCTGAGCTCCAGTAACTTCGTCTGGTTTCCTTCTGAAATTGTGACTGGTTTTTCTAGAACATTTTAGATCATTTTCAGATATGGGAGAAAATATCTAGTCCTATTTCATATATAACTTTGGTAGCTTTTTTCTTCAAACGTTTTGTTGCATGTTTTCTTCTTTTTCACATTTTCCTTTTAAATTTTCTGTAGGTAACGGACAAGAATGCATTAAACATGTGCCTGTATTTTTTAAATAATATTGAAGTAAATTAGGTATCCATTACTAAATTCTAATATAACAGCAGCATCCGATTGGCGTCATCACTCATCCCTGCATTTCGAAAGAAATGCAAAGAAATTCGTGCTATTAAACAGCAAAGAAATTCGTGCTATTAAACAGCAACGAAATTCGTGCTATTAAACAGTATACTACAGTGCATAAAAAGTGATTATTTGTTTCCCCTCATTTTCTTTTTAGAATGATAGAAAATACACCAGATATTTCTTAACGTTACTTCTCAGTTCAAATTCGTTATTTATGGAGACTTTTATTCCTCGTATTTCTTATAACACCTTGTTCTTTATTGGCTTCTACCGGCAATCTGCACAATATGACTTAATCTTAAATATTAAACTAAATTTAAAAGTACAGTTGTATCCAGTTCTATTAAATAAGAGTATTATAATGACGCACCTTCCTGTTTCTTCAATGCATGCTTCAATACAATTTCATTTAGGCTCATTTTAAAGTTATTTCAGTTCACTCTGACCAGGGATGTATAACTTTTAATATTTGTTTTTCTATTTCTGTAGCATTTCCATTTATTAGGTACTCTTCGACAAGTACTTTTTCTTAGCATTTCTGGAATTTCATTCGCATCTGCATATTCTTTCGGGGAATTTCCACTACTTCTGTAAAACAGATATTGATATAAAGTGCTTCTCATTTGGAAGTTTCTTTCTCCTTTTGTTTAGTTCTTTCACTTTAGACCAACTTTCAGATAAGCTTACTGTACTTTTTCAGGTAACATCGTAATCACAAATCCACTCTTATTATTATCATTACTATCTTAACTGTCATCTCAGCTTGCATTAAGAATTTCGTCTCTTTCTCATTTAGTATCAAATCTTTTGCAGATTTTTAACTATATCAATACCTTTACATTTTTTGTCTTACTTGAAAATGTCTGTTGGAAGTTCCTAGAGTATGTTTCTCAAATTCATAGCTAAATCAACTCTCATTCATTATCCATTAATGAATTAATTACACTGCTAGGTCAATCAGACAGCAACAAAAAACGATTATCGTCCAAAGTAATCTAATTTCAATTTTTTTAAATTTTCTTTTTGAATATTTAAGGATTAAATTCTGTGGTTAAACAAATGAGCTTTGAAAGCGCAAAACAACTTTAAAATTTAACCTGTTTAATAAATTTAAAATAAAACCTTACGACTATAATGGAATTCATTGCATAATATTTCCTTTATAAAACACAAAATACAATAATCCTTTAACAGTTTATGCTTCATATAAGTAATATAATATTTTTTGAAGTAGAAACATTAATACTGAATATTTGCTTCTGTTTTCCAGATCCTCCAGAGATTAGACTGGAAGGCAAACCAAAGGAAGAAATAGTAGAGGGAATGTCCTTGACATTAAGATGTCGAGCAGACGCAAACCCTAAAGCCAATATCATCTGGAGAAAATCAGGACACTCTGGAATATATGACATCAAGGATCATATAGAATTTAATCCTATACGAAGAACTGATTCTGGGGTCTATAGTTGTTCGGCGAAGAACGATATTGGGCAAAGCGAAGAAATGGAAATAACTGTTGATGTCAAATGTAAGATATTTTACTTTTCCTGCTTCAGAACTTGTCTTGCGTTTCAGAAACAATCTTTAATCATAAGATACGCTACACTTACCGATATGCAGCAAACTAATTTTTTGAAAGTATTCACTTTAATTTTAATATTAAATCCATACTCACCTAAGAAACAAAATGAATTATGTTGAAAATACGGATACACAATATGACTTAAATATGTATTTCTTCCGTTTGCTTCAGCATAATAAGGAGAAATCAAGTCGTTTGGATTATCTGAATCGAAAGTGACTGCAATAATGTTTTAAAATCAGGAGACACTAAAATAATTGTTAATTTGCAACTATAATATAAAACATTATAATTACATGATTAGCTTATTGATTTATGATGAAACTTGTAACCACTGTATATAACAGGTCATAGCCGCATTAGTTATGTAATGTATGTGTATTTAGTGGAACGGGAAGTCTGTATGCTAACCTTATAATCTTATGATGAGACTCGTATCCGCAGTAAAACACATGAATTGCAAATAGTTCGAGTACGGCCGTACAATAATGTAAAATGATCATAGTCTACTACTGTTGTTCCATGAATATCAGTTCCGATGCTGCTGCAATTAATAGCAATTACTGACTAAAGTAACGGTTCCTCCGTAAATACAGTAACAAATTATATACAAATAGAATAAAGTAGAGGTGAAATAAATGGAATAAAGTAATGGTTATTTAAGGGTTCCTTCGAGCCAGCAGCGATGATGCAGTAGTAATATTCAGCGTTTTAGTAAACTACCTATCCAGCAATGTGACTTAAGTATTGCTTCGAAAGCTGTTGCGGAATTCTGAGATCACAGCTTTGGTAATAGTCAGCTCTCTGGAGATTTCAGAGTGTATTCGTGCTAGCTCGGATCTATCATTTGCCATTTCTAGCATTCATCTAAATGATGTCCCGTAAACACGATTAACAGTGTCTGACTTCTGCGCTTAGCCAAGATACTTGCACGACGTTGAACATGTTTTCTTTTGAAGTGTGTTAGCTTTCATCTTATTTGATTTTCTTTTCAAAACCTAACCAGACATACATTTTTAAATTGAGGAGTATATATGACTGCTAGTCTAAAACCAGACTCAGAGAATTAGGAAACATAACAGGAATAAAGAAAACCAAAACCACAAAAAAGTTGAAAATAAATTTAATTTGTTCCCATAATTATCATCTCTATTCATATATTTGTCGTAGCATGGTATCAACCTCTGCATACTTCCATTGCAAAAGATTGCCAGAAGAGAACTCATCCCCTTCCCTTGAATACGACAATCCACCAGTTTTCCTGTCTTCTAAAATCGCTACGATTTGAAACATATTCTTATCTTTGCGAATAAATAACAGTTCCTCGATGTGAAGTCTGGGCCTTAGGAAAGGCATTCAAATACGCACCAGGAAAATTGCTGAAGCATCGCAATTTAACTCGTCTGAAGATAACTGATGCTTGATCACTTTGCATGATTGTGGTGAATGTGCATTTCCGTGGACCGAAACTGTGTTTTAGGATAATGCTTTCCCTCTTTCGAGTCTACTGTTGAAGTTATTTAAAGATTTTTCAGTACGTCTTCACATTAAATTTTGTACCAGTCTCTATAAATTCTTAACAGCAGCATACCCTTATAGCCTAGAAAATATGTAGCCATGAATGTCCATTTTGCATTTTAAATTCAACCGTTATGCACAATGTTTCTTTCAGCTTTTGAAGTTCATCTGGAAAATTCATGTCCATTCACTGTTCCGAGTTTTTCTATTTCTATATTTTCTAAAATTGAGTACCTACTACGATCTAAATCAGTAAGGCATCGCCAAGAATTGAAATAATTACGGAGATACTAACCTATTCCCTACAAATTTTCGTATTCTGTGACGAACTTGGGCGCCCGACTTACACGAAATTTATGAAAGTACAACCCCGCAATTGCACTGGCATATACTGTTTGTTACCCAATTTCAAAAATTAAAAAGCAGTTTCTTTAATCATTTGCTAACTCCATCCATGACCAAAGATGGTCTTCAATTACTATGTTAATTAAGCACGTTTTGACCCTATCAAATTTTCTGACTCTGTTCTCTCGTATAAACTTCATTTTTGAGTTTATCTTTGTGTATGGCACTGATTCTGCAACTGATTTCGTTTGCGCTTTATCCTTCAACCAGCAGAAAGAGAATTCTATCATGAATCAGATATGAGACGACAGCATCTATTACACAAGATAGCATTCTTCTCGTACCATAGTACTACAACTCGTACTATCAAACAATGAATATAGCAAATGATCATTTCGGAAGAAGTGAACTAGCACTGGTAGCTTATTTCAACTTTGTACCTCGTTCTGAGAATTGCGCAATCAAGAGTTTCCCATCTGCCCTCTTGAAGTTTCACGCATACTTCGAAGCTTCTTTTAGTTATGGATTATTGACAGCAAATATTGTATTCACAGCATCTAATCAATCATTAGAGCAATTCATCTTCTTCTGCATGATTTGTAACATTTTTGTATTCGGAAGGGACTATTAAGAGGTATGATTCGTTTTTATGCTGATATAATAATGCGGGTACGTATTCGACTCTTCGGTATTGTAAACTAATTCCGAAGCAACTGTGTTTAAAAGGCCTTCGTTGCCTGTGGCTGTCGCATTTAGATCGTTATATTTTTATGCTAAGGAAACGCGTTATAATCTCCACGAAATACAGCCTTTTATCACCAGAAAATTAGTTTGTATTTTGGGCTTTTAACACTCAGCTCGTAAAGTGTTTCCCAGTCATCAAGCCGTTTACACTGTTTTCTGCTTGATAGATCACTGCTTTTGAAATCTTCAAATCAGTTTTTCAGACCGCCTTTTCAAAAATAAATATACCATTAGCCATTTGTCCTTGTTTAACGAGAATGGAAAACGCTTATCTCTTGAATATTTAGATTTCCATATTATTAGGTTGGTCACTCCGCTATCCATACCAATCCACTCAAGTATTCATAAACATTTTGGGTGGTGCATCTTTAATCACATTCCAGGAGCTGTAAATTACATTGCTATTTAAAAAAAATCATTTATCAATGTTCACTGCCATGAGATAGATACGCTACGATCTATGTTACATCAGAACAACAACAGGATTTTTTCAATGGATGTTATTACTGACATTAAATGAAAACAAAGTTACTAATTTGAAAGCTGATTTACGGAATATGACAATCAGGAATAAAATATTTAATATGTAATTAAATATTTTCAGTGTTTCTTCAATTTAATATAGGCATTCCATCTACAGATGATATAAATTTAAATACCGATTACTCTTCCGCATATATTAAATCATGTACCAAATATTTAATTTTTTTTAAAGTAAGCAGTAATAAATTCTTTAAAAATAAAATTCCACTTCATAATTAAGGAGAGACAAAACTTCAGTTGTTCTATGTGATAAAATAAAAATAACTCACAGAACTCAGAAAGAAAAGTTAAGGATGCTTTAGAAGCTGATTGATATTTGACTTGAGCCATTGTCATTAAGAACTGTATCAGAATGAACCTAACTGAGCTTAAAAAAGCATTCAAAGTTCGACGTAACTTGTTTCTAATTTTTTTTTGTACTTCTGTCTTTTCCTTTTACTTGCTCATCGATTTGAAGAGGCATGGGCGTGTCTTTTGAAACAAAGACCGCGGTGTTCTTAAGTGGTTTTCCAGTGATCTCAGATCGTTTATTCGTATCCATTGTGCCCTTAGATATATTAGATGCAAGATTGCTCTGATTCGTAACCACTTGCAACGTCTTCGATAAACATTAAACACAATTTATGTGTATTTATATTTCTTTTACATTTAATTGTTTATTTGATTTAACTGCGAGACTGAGATAAATGTTCTGAATATACCACATTTGTCACGATAGCCAGATACTTTATTTTTTTCCGAATTACCTCAGAAAATGATTACGATAATCTATAATTTAGAAAAACATAATAAAAGCCATTCACATAAGTAATTTACAGGTGCCCTTAAGCAAATACGCGATATTTCGCACTCCGACTGGCACAGGTGAAAATTCCTAAAATAGCCCAAATTTCCGAAAACTAAACTTATTATACAAAACATTAAAAAAATAATATTATATTCTTAATTTCCTAAATATTGGTACAATGTTTCTCAAACTAAGGTAAGACATTTATCAAGAGTGTATTCCAAATCTGGAAATGTAAAATTTAAACTTTACGCTGTATACATTTCGGTTCATAAAATGTGCATTATACCAAATGTCTCGAACTCAAACTGCATGTGGGCCTCGTGTTAGATCTGACAGTAGCTGACGAGCCAGAACAATTTTTCAACAAAATTTTAAAACGTTTTAACAAAACAAAAAAGTTAAACTAAATTTTAAATTTCACTTACATTTACGAAAACATTCATAAACAATAATAATGCAAAAAAAATTCAATTTATATTTTATTTTCTGAAAGGTACCTTTAGTGAAATTTCTTTTGATTTTATATTGTTACTCAAACAGCTAAATACGAAATATTAGACTAAGGATTTTAAGTAATTCCAGTATATTGAATTAACCGCTGAATAACTTTAACCTAACCCGGAAGACTAGAAGCAATAGAATACTGAAGCGCCATCAGCTGTCGCCTGACAAACTAAATCTACTAATTATGCCAACATGGAAAATTCTCCCACCATACTATAATCATGTGGCTTGTTGTACAAGCATACAGGGACAAAGCCCAGTCTTATTTATTTTAACATTTTTCCTTCAATGCCAGTCGCGCATATAAGCTCTCTCCATATCTTTGCGTGTCTAAAAATATAAGCATTATACTTACAACAAATAGATATTGAAATGTATTTGCGAGCCGCATAAAATTGCTTCGGGGCCGCATGCGGACCGCGAATTTGAGACCACTGCATTACATTATAATAGGTCTGAAAGGAAATTGGTTCCATACCTTAGTACCATATTACTGCAAGAT